GGTGGTGAGACTTGCAATGCTCTATGGCGCTGAATGTTGGCCTTTAAAAGAGAAGCATAATAATAAGTTAAGTGTTGCCGAGATGAGAATGATTAGGCGGATGGGTGGCTTTACACTTAGAGACAAAATGCAAAATGAATATATTCGTGATAGGGTTGGTGTAGCTCCTGTGACGGATAAAATTAGAGAAAGTCGTCTTAGATGGTTTGGTCACATTAAACGTCGACCATCTGATGATCCGATTAGGAGAGTAGATGTTTTAGATTCGACTTATGTTAAGAAAGGCAGAGGTAGACCTAGGAAGACTTGGGCTTATTGTATTAAAAATGATCTTAACTTACTAGAACTAAATGAAAATATGACACTAAATAAGACGCAATGGAGAAAAAGGATTCATGTAGCCGATCCCACATAGTGAGATTAAGGCTTTGTTGTAGTAGTTGTTGTTGTTGTTGTATAGATAGTACAAGGCTAACAATAATGATGATGGGCGGGCATGTTTTTTAAAGGAACCAGAGGCAACAACCAAGACAATGAATGTCTAAAAAAATCAACTTTGGATTTAAAAAATCTTAAAGACAGCCTGAAGAGAAAATTGAAATGCGTTAGACTGCTTAAATGGAGTAGAAATGATGCAACTGGATATGAGTGATGATATGATCGCCTCGAAGGAGTTCAGTAGCTATTCTATTAGCATGTTAAGAAAAGAGTGTGTATTATATGTGCTCCAAGCACTGAAGGATGAAGTCGTCCGACCGCATAATCTCCCCCCTTGGCACAGAAACTCGCAAATTTTTTTTGCTCGCTGGCCTTTTCCCCTGCATCTGGCATTTTCCAACCGGTGTCGTTTCAACCAGCATGCCCGATGGCTCCCGTCCGCTCTCACACCCACCGTGCCGACAACTCACTTTTCCAACAGCTCGGCAGCTCCAACCCCTATAATGTGGAGTAAATGTGAAGGCAAGGTTTTTAAATTAAATTTATAAAGGGGAGGGGAACTAATGTGGTCCACTTGAAATGGAAGATGAACAAGATTTCAGGCGAGCGGGAATGCAACCTTTTTCTACTATTTTTTAATGTTTTTATGTTGTGTTAAATTTAGGATAAATTTACATGCCACATAATTATGATGTATTTACAAATCAAATTCTATGATTTTATATTTATATTAATGTCACTTTGCTGTAATAAACCTATGCATAAAAATTGTGTCGTGTGTATGTAAATGCCACTTAAGGAGCATTTAATAAAAATTTTAAATTATACAAATACATTTTATTCGATTCAAAATTACTCGTGAAAAAACATCAATATTTTACTAGGAAAATGAATAATACAACAGCAACAACAACAAGCTTTTATCCCACTAAGTGGGGTAGGCCAAATGAATCATTTTTCTCCATTGTGTCCTATTGAGTGTCGTATTTTCATTTAATTCTAATAAATTAAGATCATTTTTTATACAACATACCGAAGTCTTTTTAGGTCTATCCCTACTTTTCTTAACATAAGAAGAATCTAAAGCATCTACTCTCCTAACCGGATCATCAGATGGTCAACGTTTAATGCTACCAAACCATCTAAGACGACTCCCTTTAATCTTATATGCCACTAGAGCTATACCAAGCCTTTCACGAATATATTCGTTTTGCATTTTGACTTTATGTGTCAAGCCATTCATCCACGTAAACATTCTCACCTCAACAACACTTAACTTAGTTTTATGTTTCTCTTTTAAAGGCCAAAATTTTACTCCATAAAGCATTGTTGGTCCCACCATCATCTTATAATTTTTTTATGAAGTCTAAGTGGTACTTTTCTATCACACAATAGGCCAGATGCATTCCTCCACTTTAACCATCCAAGTTGAATTCTACTAATAACAACCACATCTATATCACCATCACATTGAACAAAACAAAATAGAATGACTGAGAAAGTAAATTAGAAAAGAAAAAAAAGGAAAAAAAATACTTGATGAGTTTTATACTCAAATAACCTGGTTTATCATTCTAAAATGATATCCATAGAGAATTAGAGATTTCTAGATACAATACAACGCTTAATGAGTAATTGAAAAAATATACAAAGATCATAATTCAAAATCAAAATTAACTCTTGGTGTTGTCATGACTATTTATTTTCATCATACATTCATAATACAGTTATAATGCCTTCATAAAAATAATTTTATGCTATAATTTCCAACTCTTAGTATTCAATGCAACCCTTATATATAAGAAAAATATTTAAGTTGAAGTCAATGATTTTTTTTTAATTGAATATTCAGTATTATAGATTGGTAAAATTACAAGCCACTTTTTAAATAATAGTATGATATGTGATTATGAAATGCATTAATAAAAATATCATATGCATAATAAAATTAATATTTTACAATTAGTATGCCATTTTTATTCCCTAATATTGATGGTTATTATTTATATTTAAGATTTAATTATATAACATTTATCTAATTTATAGTAATTCATATTATTTCTAAATAGTTAAATTAAATGTCAATTATTTTACATATATCATATTTCAAAATGTAAAATTAGAACTTTTCCCATAAGAAACACTTTGTTCAAAAATACTAAAAGCTCTTTTAAGTTCAAATCGAACTTGACTAGATATTTAAAAAAATATTGCTAACTCTTTTCTCCCTCCTACACATGATATTTAATACATTGGTGGTTACTGGTTAGGTTGTAACTGTTTTCTTCTATGTTTAGGTTTGCCATGCTATTATTTACCAAAACTCATATTGTTCTGAGGTTTAAAATGCGCATAACAAAAATTGCCACTTGTATTTTTTTCCACTTAGAATCAAGCATCTTTCCAAAATAAGAACTTTGGTAAAACCCATGGGGATACTTTGTAAGTCATGAAAAAACTGTAACCTGATATTACAATAGTTTACATCAGTTCACTAAATTTAAATTGCTAGAAATTAGTCCAATTATCAATATTTTCTGATGGACAATAATTCAGAAGTGTAAAAATAACATGCAGAATTAGGTAACATACAAAACATCAGCATTTTAAAATAAATTAACAAACATAAATGACTTTAAAGTTCTCCTCATCATCATTTGCCTTTGGGCTCAGCTTTACAAATTCTTATGTCAATTTATTTTCATCAAGTATTGTAGGGGAACATTAAACTTATTCTTTGTAAATTATTTTCAATACTTTGTATCTATTTCATCTTAGATCTACCCTGCATTCCTAAATCCATGACACTACTTTTATCTACTCATCAAATGAATGTATTTTTTAATCGTCATTCCACATGTCTAAATTATTAAGTCTGAATTCAATTAGTTTCAATAGACATTACTCTAACTATTCCTTTAACAGAATTATGCTTTAATTTATGTTTTTCTAGTTTTAAGATAAACGTATTTTTACAGCCACATACTTGGACTTATACAATAATTCATTTTCTTTTTCAATGACAAGTTTTTAACTTTTTAGTTGTACAGAAATCATATGATACAGGTTAGCAATTTATGTCTGAGTATATAAGAAGAAAATATGCTTGAGTCCATACATATTAAGTTTTTTTTTTCATTTAACTAAGTTCAATGCATCATTTTATAATTGAGTTTCTTTAACTTATGTATGAAAGTATGATAAAAATATTATGACTTGATATAATGATCTTTTATTTAAATATTTGAAAGTGTTTGCACGTTGGCTGCACCTTCCTTTTTGTTCTAAGATAAAATTAAATTATTTGCCGTGCAAATGCAGACACAATGTAAAGGTTAGATTAAAAATGTAATGGTGCTATTTGAAGCAAAAGTGAATTAGATTGTCTTTTTCACATGTAGTAACCATACTTGAAAATAATGAAGCCTTTCCTCCTCCAGCTCTTCCTCTTCATATATGGTTGAACCGCTTCTAAATGAATCTTATTTTCCTACATATCGCTCTAAATTTAACAATCCAAGTTGTTATGCAATAAAGTCATGATTGCTTGTTCAAACTTTTACCCATTATAACCCACAATGGCATCCATCCAGCACTGAATATAGTTGCCCAGCTTCCATAATTGGTGTCATGATTTAAATCGCATAAATGTAAAGAGTCTACTGCAATAAACACCACTGCGTCTCCTAACCATCCATCGAGCACTGAATATAGTTGCCTAACTTCCATAATTGGTGTAATGTTTGAAATCACATAAATGTAAAGAGTCTGCTGCAATAAACACCACTGCGTCTCCTAACAAAATCAGTCGAATATCTTCAAATCTATTTGAATGGTATGGAAAGTTATTTTCTAGAGGGTATTGACACACGAGGAAGCACAATTAATTAAGAGCTGAAAAAATGTAATTCATACTAAACTACTATAGAGTTTAAATAAAGAACAAATAACAAAAAAACATACAATTTTAAGGATTAAAATGAAAGCAATACCAGCTTATTTGTATTTCTGCTTTTCAGAGTCAACATTGCTGCCTCTGCAAATGCTTGTGCTGCTTCAGCATCAGCTTCAGCTGCTTCTGCCTCTCGTGTTGCTTCTTCAGCCTCGGCCATTGCTTTTTCTGCCTCAGCTATTGCTTGAGCAGCAGCAGCAGCTGCCTCTTGAGCTGTCATATTTCTCATCCATGCTAGTTCAGCATCAGCTTGAAATTTGGCCAAAGACTTATCATCTCTATCCTCCTTCAAGTTTTCTTTCTGCCTTCCTTCATGATGTGATGCTTTCAATTCCCTACCTTCCATGATGGCCAAACTTGGTGCAATTCTATATTTGCGTTTCACCTGTTCAAGTAGCAATAAGTAAAATGTTTGAGACACAACATAATTACAGCATCCTTGTCCCAACTATTTGGAATTAGCCCTATGAATCTTCCTCATCCATCCATTCCTATTGAGAGCTACATGAGGCACTAAATATTTTTTAGATAAAATCCATTTGGACTACTTCTACTCATATTAACTTTAACTTACAATTTTATCTTCTTAATCCTTCCATATTTATTCTATACAAGTCTTATCGGAGCATTTTTGCTCTCCATGCACAGCAGAAAATACACAGGTCTGTCGTGTTCTAGCATAATAGATTATATTCCCAACATCCCTCCAACATAATCATCTCCCTAGCCTTTCTTAGTTCACCCCCATATGCATCTTAACATTCTGAATTTGTCCTACAAAATTTGGATAGAAGTCATTGTTGACCTCATTTTTGGTGAGGTCTCTTCTTCTTCTTAGAGCCTAGGGTCTAAACTTAGAATTTTATGTTGGACTTTCTTAGAGGACTAGTCTGGGACCCGCACCAACTAGAAATTCGAGCCACTTCTTGACTCCTTACAATTTTAGATGGGTGGTTCTAAATCCTCAACGTTTGGTTGAGTCGACTAAAGCCAATGTAACGAAACTCAAATTGAGTACCCATAGGATCTAAAGCCTTAGGAAACCTATTGTGACTTCCGCGCACTCTCACGATGCTCGAATACGACAATTTACGCGCTCGATGCACATAAATATCGAAATGCACGTCATCTGCACCTGTAAAAGGGGTTTCACAATTGTTCAAACTTGAATCAGTCGCCAAAACGATCGATTGCGAACTAAAATTTTAAGAAAATCAAATTTGATACATTTTTGACCCAATCATTGACGAAGTCGTCCGGATTACCCCGAATGACAAAACGGACCGTGTCGGCGCTTCCGGAACGTCGATTTTAGCTAGAGAGAACACCCATTTCGATACGGTTTTGTGCACGAGCGAAAAGTGCGTAAATTGAGAGAGTTTAAATATCAAGCTTTATAAAACTAATATATAAATAAAATAAAATAAAAAGATTTCTTTTTCCTAAATCCCTAACTCACATGTGCCCTTTCCCCCACTTGAGCAACCCTTCTCCTTCGACTCGAGCCTTTGCGCTGGCCTCCTTCCTCAAGCGGAGCCCTAGCCGCACCCTAGCTCGCTCACGACATTCCCTCTCCCGCGCCATGCTCTCGAACCTTCCCCTTCATGCAATGGAAAGTTGACTCCTTAGCCTCGCTCCGACACCCTCTGCCCGAAATGCTACTTCCCGAAACCTCGCCTGCCTCAGCTCGTCGGGCGAGGTCTTCGTGGCCTTTTGGTTGCCTACTCGGGTAAGTTTGACCCGTGGAGCCTGCCCCTTCGAAGTGTTTCGTTGGCAAAACCTCTTCTTTCCGATGCCTCATGCCCTGCTCATGGTTGCCATTTTCTCCTGTCCTTTTCTCGGGTCGCCTCACCTCCGACAAGTCGAGGGTATTTTCTCCTCCTTCCCCTTCGGCTATAAAAGGCCTTCTTCGAGGGATGTTTCGGGTTTTTGTCATTTTCGTTTGTTGGTTGGCTCATCTTGTGCGTGTGCTTGAGATTCTTTGGAAGTTCTGTGAGTGAAGCTTGATTTTCACTGTTGTTGTTGGATTCGAGTAGAGCAGCAAGTGAGGTAATCCCTCCCTTCCTCCTTCATCCATTGCCAAGTTTCTCTATTTTTTTTTTTAATCAAGGAAGAGGCTGCGTTTGTTTGTTTGGAATCACTGCTGCTATACTATGTTTTTTTTTAATTCTTAAAAAGAGCCATTTGTTTTATCTTGTCTCTGTGCCGAAGAAAGTTGAGGCTCAAACATCGGCTTCCAGGTTTGAGGAAATATAAACTCTATGCAAATGTGCACTATGACCCAGTAATTCTTTTTATGCTTACAGAATTTGTGCTTTAGTCCAGACTTAACATATGCTTGAGAAGTTATCATGAGCTTTGGTTGCATGAATTGCCATGGATCCTTCTACATCTACTTATATGTAATCAGAATACTCATAAAGTTCTTTGCCTTAGGGTATAAAATAAAAATAATAAAAAAATATACCCTTTCAAACAAACTGCAAAGATTCCTTCCGGTTTGCTTCTGCAGAGATATCAGATTTCTCAGAAAGCTTCCTGGAAGCATTCTTTCTTACGGGCTGGGCCAAAGCATATTTCTGAAGTTTAAATTATTGAACTGCTGTGTGAACTTTGGAAGATTTACATACGTACCACCGAATCCATTTGTATTTATCTATGGGATGCCTTAGCCATGCTTGAAAGATTTTTTTTTTTACCAATTGGCCCGGTTTGCTTGCTGGGTGGTTCGGTTAACTGGCTAATGACCTAGTTTTTCCAGTTTAATTGCTCCATTTTATGACATGAATATTTGGTTTCTTTCCCTTTGTCGCTCATGATAGTTATCATTTTGGCCAAGCTTTAGTTTGGAGTGTCGCATTTCCTTTTGTGTCCATGTTGCCTTCTTGCTGATTTTAAATGGAGGAAAAGCTGCTAATAGGATTGGGATACCATTCTTGCCATAACTTGGATCAATTATGAAAGAGTGCTCTCATTAAAAGGGCAACGCTTGGCATGCTGCAAAAAAAAAATGTGGAAGAACATATCCTCTTGCATTAGAACCGTTGGTAAATTGTACAAATGCTTGCATTCTTCTTGCATTTTGCATTTATACCTATATAGATGTAATAAAATATGGTTAGACAATGGCTGAAATGGGAAGTTTTGATTGGCTAGAGTCGCAGGAAATTTACATACATGCCATTTAATTCCTATATACGAACATATACCCTATTTGCAAAATATTTTGACTACAAAAATAAATATAAATTTTGCTTATATGCATGCCAAAATATAAAATTTAAGTAAAATAATTCGATTGTCTACTCGTCAATTATCTGTATTGGGCTAATGATTTCCCTCCTAAGGTTGTATTGTTGGAAATTTCTAGTTGCATGTCGGGCTCTATATATACGGATGACCGATGGTTGCCTTCGAAGTCCCTCGAGAATATCTAAAATCTGAGCCTACCCCGACCCGAATGCTTACGGTTTTCTTTCTTTCCTCTGATTTTTCGTACGTTTCATACAATTTTATTCGAGTCTTTGTAGATCACTCGTGATTTCCTTCAGATTTTCTTTGCGTTTCCAATGGTTTCCTTCGAGTTACTGTGGGTCATTTGTGGCTTTCCTCGAGTTTTCCAAGTGATATTTTGTTATTCATTCTTATTTATATTAATACATGGTTACCCATCAGTTAAATTTTCCACCGTACTCGTTTACTTTTACCTGCGACACTGCCCCATTTGCAGGAGTAGCAGATCCGTCAGGTATACAGGTTTGTTTTATATTTACAGTGTTTTACCTTCTTTACTGCACATCTTATTGCTTTTCTTTGTTGTACATTTTACTGCCCTTTTCTTCTTTCCAGTACATTTTATTGTATATTTTCTTTACCGCACTTTACTGCATATTCATATAATTCATGCTTGCGATGTTACTGTTTATTGTTTACTGCATTCGTAGCATGTTTCCGTTTTATTATTCATGTAACTTCTATAAACTTGCAGAAGCCTTTAGGATAGAGGACAGTAGGACACCCGGTTTAGAAGGCACCCTATGGCGAGCCACTGACCTAACAACTGTATATATATACACACACCAAAACTCTGAACCTATGATTGATGAGTTAAGGAGCTTGAAGTATCCTTCCCAGGAAGCAGAACGAGGAAGCGAGCGAACGGAGGGCGACGATCGAGACCACAACAGCGAAGCGAAGGACGACCTTCAGTTGAAATTTTCATAGAATAAACAACAAACCCATAGAACATCGAGGTAGTACACTTAGTGCGACATAAATTCTCACTTCAGTTTTAGGCCTTTGCATCGCACCACTCTATTGTTTATTATAAGTCCTAATTCTCTTTAGGATTCTGAGGTCGTCGTTCGGTAACACGTAAATCCTTCAATCTTCCTAGGTCATTTGCACAATCGGGTGTCGTGCGAGTGTAAGTTCTAAATAATAAAACTAGCAGGATGAAACACTCATATAACATTTTTTCAAAATTTAAGCAAAATAATAGGATAGTTTGGAAGTCATCGGAGTTTTCTCAGATCGGTGACATGCCATACTTTTCGTTCCTTTGAAATCTTAAAATAACTGTTCCTATTTTGAGTCATTCTCTTTCGATTTTACTATATCCAACCATGAAAGCCTAAACTTTGAAATCTTGAAGAAAGAACCACTAATCTTAATCGAGAGTCTTCTTAGGTGATTTCAATTGCCTAAGATGTAATTAACTATAGGGGTTTGACTCTATAAAAAACTTAAGTAACCAGCTTAATATAAATCATATTTAATCTCCCGTATTAAATATGAGAACTTGTCGGCTTATAAAAAAAAATGATTTCACAGAACAAACAGATGTCAGAAATTCTTTAGTTCAGGTGGTTAAGCCTACTAACAAATGGTATGTTTATCCTTCGGGATACTGTACTAATTGTGGTATCTAGCTCAACCATCTAGACTATCAAATGTGTGAGCTCCATCCGGTCACACTTTTCTAAATTAAAATATTATTATTTTTCAAAATTATAGTCATATATAAATTAAATTGAAACATTATTTTCCAAAGTTAAAAATATTATTTTATAAAATTATAATCACATATATATCTATAAATTAGATTAAGTTAAATCCTAAATAAAGAATGCACGACATTTATTCGGCCGACACTCATTTCATTGTTGCAATACATGTAAAAATTATGTCGACATCTATATCATTATTATTGCATATAATGAATTCGACTAGTTTAAGCCAAACACATAAAATAAGTAATTGATCTTTGGGTAACACTGACAGATAACTATCAATTTTACTTCCACGTAAATGGTGAAAATTGTGGAATTCTGAGTTTTCAGTTTTAGTGTTATTCTCTTTTATTCCTTTTTTGTTACATCATGTTTCTTTTCTTCTTGAGTTAGTTTATCATTCTTAAGTTGTAATAGTTGTAATTATGTTGTCATAGTCATTCCTCATTATATAAGAAGGAGAATAGTTGTAAGTTGATAATTGAGAAATAAGAGAATATTAATTTTCTCTTCCTTTCTTCATGTTATCAGAGCTAGGGAATAAACCCTAGATCCTCAAACACAGAATACGATCATCTCCAATTCCTACAAGCGTCCTTGGCTACCATATACCTACAATCTTCTAGGTGTTTCTAGGTATTTCCTCCTTACAGACCATATACCTGCAAACTTTCGACTACTATATACTTCCTTCTAGGCGCTCCTCCAGATTCGGATAATTGCATCTAGTTCCCTCGACGACATTGTTTGCGATGTCTGCATCCCTACAAATCGTTGTTTGTGACGTCCACAATCAACAAAGTTTGGTTCATATTCATCTGTCATTTTCCTGCATCATCCGCGTTGTCTTCCTTCTGCGTCGACAGTGACATTAACCTGCGTCATTTGCGAAATTTTCTTACTGCATCGACTGCGACGACTACGAAGATTCCTTCCTACAAAGTTTGCTACATATTCCCATGCATCGCTTGCAACGTATTCCTCATGGGTCGTCTGCGCGAGATTAGGGCAGCCTCCGACAATCCTGCAAACCCTCCCAGCTCCGGCTCCGACTCCTGCTTCTTCTCCCTGCAATCGTCCTGCTAAGGGATTAGAGCATACTCCAACCATCCTCCAGACCTGGGCGCACCAGTCGGCAAGCTTTCATCCAGGTGATCTTCCTTGCAGGCTTCCATTTCCTTTTGTCGGATTGTCTTCCTACAACAGCTTCTTTCCCTGTAGGTTAGGCTTCCCTGTGCTTCGCTGTCATGCGCCACTCCTTCCAGTGCTCAGTTGTCAGGCGTCACTTCTGCCCCATGCTATTGCTTTGGTTGGATTTTTTTTGCTCTAGTGGAAATCCCAAACCTACAAAGAGAACTCCAACAGCCGCAAGAACACATTCCGGTCACCAAAATCTCTTACTATAGCCGCAGGAACTCATTCTCGTAGCCGGAACTTCTCCTGACAGCTGCCATAATCCCTTTAGCCGGCCTGCAAGTCCTCCCCGAATCTTCCTTACAGCCAGAAATCCCTGTTGCAAAACTTTACCTTCATCCATTAATAAAAACTAGAGTTTTATCGGTGTTAATCCAGTCAATTAGCTAAACATACTTGTCATGCCTATCATCTATTGCAATATAAACCCTCACATCCTTTCTCTATCATCCACAATGACATTAACGGACCATCAAAATCGAAAACCATCAATAGAGTCAGATGGTTTCTCTTTTAATGATGACCACACTAAAACCAGTTAGATATTTCTCATGAAGAAAATTTGAATCTGCACAAATCTTTTAGTCATTCTACAAAATGATTTCCACTCAATTCCAATATGAAATTTAGATCCTCAAAACTGATAATGTAAAAGAATATTTCTATTGTATCCTTAGACACTACCTTGCAAAGAAAAATATCATCCATATGAATTCCTACATTCAAAGTCCACAATAAAATGAGATAACTAAGAGGAAGAATAGACATCTTCTCGAGATATCTAGGTCTATAGTTATTTCCCACAAAGTCCCAAAATTTTTTTTGAGAGAAGTCATGTTCATAACCACCAACCTCATTAATAGAATGCTAAGCAGGATACTTAGATTCATAGCCCCTCTTAATATTGTGATGGAAAAATACCCTCATGTCAGAGCCATCTCATACAATCTTCCTCTAAAAATATTTGGTCTTCTCTTTTGTTCACATTCACCAACCAAACCACACAACGCTTGACACAAAAGCCATCAAATGTATCTTCCTTTGGCAATCTTCAAATAAAAGAAATAAAAGTGTTATTCTCCCATTAAAAAAAATATATTATAAGTCCACATATGTTGTCTTCTTTGAAAACCAACCTACTACCCAAATATGATATTCAAGGGGAGAGTTCAGGTGAATATCAGACTTAGGACACTATTTTGGATACTCACACTAATCGAGGGTCATCACAACTATTTTTACTTCTTTACACTACTTGTGAAACACACACTAATCTAGAGTCATCACAACTTATTCCCCTTTCTTTTAACCATCCTATCTCCCAAGTTCCACCAGTTGAGAACATCGAACTTGAGATTGACAACAAGAAACTTTGAGTGCATACTAGGGAAAAATATTCACTGAACAGGATAAAGACAATATGCAACCACAAAACTATTCATTACCAAGCATGAATTCACACATCTCTAAAGTTCTAAAGGGAAGTGAAATCCAGTGAAGAAGACGGGGAAAATTACACAAATTATCATATCCAGGATTATGTTATCAATGGGAAGTTATTATCAACTTATTAAACTTTTTTATCTAACATTGACAATGTGCAAATACCTAAGTCCATTCATTAAGCATTTCAAATTGCATAATGAAAAAAGACAGTAGAAGAGGAGATCCAAACACTTGATCTAAATGAAACATGGATCTTTACAAAGCTTCCTCCAGATAAAAATGGTCGTCGGGTGCATAGGTCTTCAATGTCTGGTACAAAGCAGTGGGAGCATTGAAGGTTCAAGGTTAGGTTGGTGGCCAAATGTTTCACTCAGTCTATGGGATAGCCAGATATACTATTAACAGACCTTAGCCCTAGTGGCCAAGTTAAACTTTGTAATAGTTCTTTCCTTGGCAGTGAATAAAGAATAAGAACTGCACCAACTTGATATCAAGAATGTGTTTTTGACCGTAGACCTTGAAGAAGAAGTGCATATGGAAATCATACCATGAATGGAAAATAACTCAAATAAACATCTAGTTTGTAAACTAAGAAAATCACTTTATGGACTCAAACAATCTCCAAGGGTTTGGTTTGACAAGTTCGTCAAGACTATAAAATCTAATGCATATATCCAATGCCAAGTGGATCATAAGATGTTCATAAAACATACACAAGAAGGTAAGATGGCTAAACTCACTGGATGTGCAGATGATATGATCCTGACAGGTGATGATGAAAAAGAGATTGGGAAGATCAAGAAAATCCTTGCCACTGAATTTGAAATTAAGGATTTAAGAGCGATGAGATACTTTCTGGGAATGGAAGTAACCAGGTCCAACATGAGTATTGTGATATCCCAAGATTACATCCAAGATCTACTAAAAGAGGCAAGAATGTTGGGATGCAAACCTGTTGAAGCTCTTATGGACTTTAACAAAAAAATACATTTAGGGGTGAAAAAACACGTGTAAAAAGAAAGATACCAGAAATTGGTGGGCAAGCTTATCTACCTGTCGCAAATTAGACCTAATATTACTTACTCTGTCAGCATTGTGAGTCAACATATGAATAGTCCGAATAAAGAACATTTGGAGATGATTTACATAATATTGAGATTTACTAAGAAGTCAACCTCAAACAGAGGGTTATTGTTAAGAAATCAAACAAAGAGGAGGTAGAGGTTACACTGATGCTAGTTGGGCCGGAAAACACACAGATATAAAGCCCACTTTTGGGTATTATTTTTATGTCAGAGGAAATCTTGTCACTTAGAGAAGCCAAAATCAAACAATAATTTCTAGAAGCAATGCAGAATCTGAGTACTAAGCACTTGCTTTGAGAAATTGTGATGGAATATGGATCCAAATGTTACTAAGTGAGTTGGGATACTCCACGGTCAATCACATAAAGATCTTCTATGATAGCCAAGTTGTAATTAATATTGCAAAAAACCATGTGTCATAACAGAATAAAAAACATTAAGATTGATAGATATTTTATCTCTAAAAATGTCAATTGACACTACTTGATCTACATTCCGATTCAACTTCAGGTCATTGATATTTTCACAAAATCTCTACCTCTAAATATCTTCACTAATTTGAATACCAAGTTGGACCTTTAAAACATCTATGACCAAGTTGAGAGGGAGTGTGAAATTCATAGTTTCCTATTTTAAGGTTATACTCTTTTTTTTTTTTTTTGTATGTCATATTTCTTATCTTCTTGAGTTACCTCATATATGTTAAGTTGTAATGGTTGTAATAAGTTTATCCTAGTCATTTTCCTTATTATATAAGGAAAAGAGTTGTAATTTGATAATTGAGAATATTATTTTTATGCTCCTTTCTTCCGCCAAGCACATGAATTAATTAATTGATCTTTAGGTAACATTGAAAAATAAATATCAGTTTTACTTCCACAAAAATGTTGAAAATTTATTGAATTCACCAATAAAATTACATATGATGTGCTTGGACACTGTTCTACTAATCTTCATGCATTTGCCAAAATTTTCTTCTATTATTGTAATTTTCACTTGCTTTAAAATAAAACTCATATAACAAACTATATCATCAAATAGCATGCACAAAAATGCCTAGAATATCTTAGTAAGAAACTAAATAATAAATAAAAAATGAGACAAATTTTTAACAGTGATCCTTAACATAAACCTATACCAATTTAAATACCGTATTCATTAAACATTATTTTAGAGCTCGAAAAAGATAATAAGACATGCTTTCAGTAAATTATCAATAAGCAAAATTGTCTCCATGGTCAAGTCTCAAAACAAGAACAATTAGTCCGGACATTGTGCCATATATACGTAATAATAAGAGTTGAAAACCATTAGTTAATGAATTATCTTCACTCAGCTCTACTTATCGGGCCTGCAATAAGCTAAGCCATTATACTCGGCACTAAAACTTGGAGAGGAAGCCATAGAATCTTTTTAACCAAGTCATCACAAGCTGAAGTCATCTGGCTGATTTATTAGCAGGAAATGCTTGACATTTAGGATGGTGGAAGTAATACAAATGTTTTAAACCAACATTAGATCTACTATGATAAATCAAGAAAACCTGTTACCTTAATCAATTTTCCCCGTTCAGTCATTTCCTTGAGTTTTACGGACAATAATAGTTTGAAATCAGTAGGAGTCATGTATTGATCCTGCATAAAAACATAGAAATAAAAGTCAATAGGAAGAACTTCTTCATGAAGCACACTAAAAACACTGTACTCTTGTGAAAAATTCCCATATCAGGATGAATAAATATAAGAATAGCTTCAATGAGGAAAGGCGATGCATCGATGTATAGGTCTTGAAGACAAAATGTAATAACAAGCAAAATAAATTCAAGCAAAAATTTAATCAGATTAGAATACCTATAAAGTTTTGTTTTCGCTTCATTTCAAATTTCTCAGTTAGTTCAACATTGAAATCCCTTGTCCCTTTTAAACCAATGCTCTCATTGAATCCCTAAACCGGTCACTGACTCAGCCATAATCCACAACCTCGTGATGCATGATGCAACAACTCTCTCCAACATAGCATGTGGAATCCTAGCATCAACACAGCAAACGTGATGTCCTTTCAGACCATAACCCGCCCACATGTGCTCCTACTTCACTGCCATAGCCAATTCAAGTTATATATGCATAATATTTTTTTTTTTTTGAAATTTCATTGTTAAAAAGGCAGGCAGGGATCGGTATTTGATCTAAGATTTAAATCCTTCAATTATATTTAGTTTACCTCGTGGCTATTTTATTTAATATATTGTGATTCTGTTTTGCTATCTTCTGCAAAATCCTTGCTCACATTTGGATCTGTTTCTCATTTTAACGATAGTTTTAATTTAATTCACATAATTTTTAAAATCAATGTTTTTAAGAATAATTATTTTGTAGGATTAGATGGGTATATAAAGATGACTGAGCAAGTACAAGCTAACAAAGAATGCTCATCTAAATGGAATGAGTTTTAGGATGATACAAAGCTGAGTAGACATCAAATATATCTGTTCAAAGAGTTATTGCTACCACAATGAGTGCCATATTTGTATTTTTAGATGAACTAAGAGGTTGTTTGGTTTGTTGAAAAATAAATGCAGTGAAATTAAAATATAGTGTTGTTGAAATAATTAAAAGTTGTTTGGTTATGGTATACAATAAATTCAAGAGATTACTGTTTGTGTTTGTTTTAAATGAAATCAATGCAAACTTCACAGCAACTATGGGAGAGCCTTTTGTTGGCCAATAAATGCCAGGAGAGCAACGATAGCTGGGTGAATAGCAATAAATTAATGGTGACAACGATTGATGGGCGATGAAAGTCGCGACCTGCAAGTGGCAGTGGGCAACAGCCAACAAGACGATGGGTAGCAAATGGAAGCATGCAACAGCCAGTGAGCGACCAAGATGGGTGATGACATGCGATTGCTGCGACGACAAATTCTGGGTGCATTTAGAATCAACCAACTTGGAAAATTTCTAAATACAACAAATTTGAACTAAAAGGTGAACTTTATAATTACCAAAATTTTACAATTGTATACCATTTTCATACAATCAAATGATAATTTGGAAATATAATGCATTTAGTTTCACCATACTAGTAATGCAGACAACCAAGAAGCACCTAAAATAGAAATATAAAGATCTTTTCCTAAATGAAATATCCAACATGAATCATATCTCTAGGTTATACCATTGATAAGATTCTGATTGTGTTGATATAGTATGAATGAGAAGATAACCTTTTCTAGCTTACATGATTTATTCAAACAAGAAAATTAATTGTAGATAACTTAGCATGCATTAAAAAATAAGCTGCTATGTTAATGCATAGCCTCAAGCATAGTGCTCATAATTCAGTAATTCAATTCAACCTTTAGCAACAATAGCAAAAACAACAACAAAAACAAGCCTTTATCCCACTAGAAGGGGTCAGCTACATGAATCCTTTTTCTCCGATGTCTCCTATTGAGTGTCACATTTTCATTTAATTCTAATAAATTAAGTTCATTTTTTATACAACATGCCCAAGCCTTTTTAGGTCTACCTCCACCTTTCTTAGCATAAATTGAATCTAAAACATCCACTCTCCTAACCTGATCATCAGATGGTCAACATTCAATGTGATCAAACCATCTAAGATGACTCTCTCAAGTCTTGTCTGCCGTTTGAGCTACACCAACCCTTTCACAGATATGTTCGTTTCACACTTTGTCCCTAATTTTAAAGTCACTCATCCACCTAAGCATTCTCATTTCAACAACACTTAACTTAGTTTTGTGCTTCCCTTTTATAAGCCAAGATTTTGCGCCATAAAACATTGCGGGTCTCGCTACCATCTTATAAAATTTCCCTTTAAGCCTAAGTGGTACTTTTCTATCACACGATAGGCCCAATGCATTTTTCCACTTCAACCAACCAACTTGAATTCTAATAATGACATCCTCATCTATATCGCCATCAATTTGAACAATAGACCCGAGATATTTAAAATGTTCACTCCTTCTAATGATTTGACCACCCACAACTCTACCACTAGATCTACTACCACTAAAATTACATTCCATATATTTAGTTTTAGATCTACTCAAATGAAAGCCCTTAGACTCTAATGTAGGCCTCCATAATCAAGTTTTTTCTGGACTCCTCTAGCCTTATCCACAAGAAGAATATCATCAGCGCAAAGCATGCACCAAGTTTTTCTTGAACTCTTTCAATTCAACTATTAGCAATCTAGAGAAATAATAAATACAGACTCCAATGTTGAAATCATAGACTTCATATAAGATATAATCAAAATAATAAAGTTGTCTTTTTAAGGTGCGTCCATAGTCATACATGATGATATAAAATTAAATCATACGAGTGATCTTACAAATATAATTTATAAAAATAGGATTATGTTTGCATTAAAGATGGAACACACACTAAAGTTAAGGTCCTTAAGAAAGAAAAAAAAAGGCAAGTCATAATAAGAAAGCAACATTTGAGTCAGCTAGGAGAATAGTGAACCAAAATGCATCACAATTGCTATGAGTTCAAGAAGTAATAAAATCAACTCATTACATACCATTTCATTATCAGTTGTAATATTTCTAATATATATGATGGAAATTATATCACAAGTAAATATTATGTAGTTAATAGAGATTACTCTACCTAGAAGGATTTTATATTTCCATATCGTGTAACAAGATATCATCAAAAACAGTAACATGGCATTCAATCATTAAATTACAAGCAATTATTTAATATTTGATATTCATCTCTATGAACCACCATGAAGTGTGCACTAGATTCTTTGAAAAAGCATTTATAATCATAAAATATGTTCCATACTTTCAATTAGAAATCCAAGCTGACATTGTGCATTCATGATGCATTTTACATAATTGGATTACTGTAATTGGAAGAAAAGATTTCATTCTCGTTGAAGATGTGCAAGGAAGAAGTAATGCGAAAAGCAGGCTTCAAATAACTCCCAAGATTGGAAGGAAAAAATACATTGCATTTTATTTACCATGTAGATCATGTGAATAATGTTGCCTATTAGTTATCACTGTTATATAATTTTATGTTTTTGCGATTGAAAATTATGTTTGATGTGAAATAAAATTCTTTATGTCCTCTATATATTTTTATATAAATGATATGCTCGTCTAAATGACTATGATTGCATTATATATTTATATTAGATATTTATAATATTTAATTACTTCGTTTCTCTCATATGTTATTTTTGGCATGGTTTTTTCCATTTTTATGACGCATGAAACCTCTCCAATCCAATGGTGAATCTGCTTCTAAAACTAATAAGAGGAAAATTTTTTTGTTTGAGTTTTTAAACTAGAATGGATAATTGCGCTACTGCAAATAATACATTATTAAGTTGATATGAATATGAAAGGAGCCAAAGACTTACAAATACAGTGTACTAAGGTGCAAATTACAAATTAACAGAAGATTTTGGTAATAACATCAGCAATGAGCAATACAATAATCAAATTCACCATCGAAGAAGTGTCAGAGTTGATTCAATAGTTAAAAAATAAGTAAAGAGCATCTTAAAATGAATAAAGAAAACATGAGAATTATGCACCACATTCTCTCTAGTCTAACATATATCATTATCAGAATATGTTTTTTGATGTGGGGAAAGTACCCTTTGTTTTAACATGTTCTTTCCAAGAACAACTTTTTTTAACATTCTAATTCCAAGCTAATTTAAGATAAAAAGATCTGTGGTGAAAGGAATCTAATCGGAGATTGAGCCACATCCACACTTAGTACAATAATTTAGGACTCGATAAATTAAATAGGATGGCAATGAATCATCAGGATTTAAAGAAACTGATATGAATGCATCCCAAGCTACTAATTGGGCAAATACGGTAACAATAATACTTTGATACTACAAAGTAAGCAACATTTCATCTTCCAAACATTGTATTCCACGCAAGAATGTTAAAAGGCATAGTGTTGATCAAACTCTCATAAATATTCATATAATGCTTAATATTATGGCTCACGTCACTAAAGCAATTCAAACTCATCAAGTGTTAGCGCTGCTCGAGAAAAGAAAAAGTTCGTTGAATGTACGACGGAGTTAACGAGTATAGCTGGTTTTATTGACATAGAAATTGATATTATATATGATAACTTGTCTAAGAATTCAACTATGATTCTAAAATCATTATTGTTGAATTTATTTGGGGAGGAAATTTGCTTACTTTTATAATTCACAAATATAGCACACATACATAGGGAAATCAATCTCTCATTATTTATAAGCATACTAAGCATATTTCACCTAAATTAGGAAATGAAAAAATTCTAAATAAAAAAATAAGAAGACATAAAATTGGAAGAGAATAAACCAATCAAAGGTTTCCTAAGATATCTCAATCAACTCCTTCGAGATTTAAAGGTGGTGGCCGAACCACATAAGAGAGGTAAAAATGAAAAGAGCCAAATCTTCTCAAATTTTCACACCCCCCTCAAACTAGGTCATAGATGTTGTAGAGACCGAGCTTGGTATTGAATCTTGAGAAGGTGTTGAAAGAAAGAGCTTTGGTGAAGACAACAACTTTTTTGTGTGTCGGGATGTAGCTTAGTTGTATAACTCCCCCCATTGACTTTTTTAGAGATGAAGT